ATCGCCCGCAACAGCTGATTCGTGTGTTATCAAACCGCATTCCGAGCTCCTTCCTAACTCGCGTCTTCGTAGCCTCATGCCCCGCCCGCGCGTGCCCGTGTTCAAAGTTCTCGGCGCGGCGAACGAACGCGTCGGCCAATCCTGCGCGGACACAACCCGCAGAACGCTCGTCAGCTGGGCTCAGTTCCAAGTTAATTGGGGGTACGGCATCGTCTGTGATCCGTCCATCCTATCCAAAGTTGAACAGAATGAATGTATGTCTCCTCCGACGGTGATCGTGATTGTCCCGATACACTAATCGTGGGTGTGCGAACGCGAACAGAAGAACCAGTCATAGAAAGCCCTGCCATTTTAAGGTCGACGTGGGCAGCTGACGCCCAGCAGATTCCATCTGCATAGAGCCCGAGCGTCTGGCGGGGGCTATGTTTGGAGGAAGTACGTTTGTGATAAGATGACGACTTATTTTCGTGTGTCTTCTAGGTCGGACGAAGCCGGCGCCGCTGCGTTCGTCTACAGTACTCCCTGGACGGTGTAACCTCCCCGTCCCCTCCATTCCTCGTGAAGCTCAATATTAGTCTCGTGAAGCAGCGATATGGCAGAGAAATACCGTCGAATATGGTGTCCGACACGGGTGAGTCGCGACCTCGATAGTTTAAAAATTCTCTCTCTCATCCCCGGGCCAGCTCGCGTCTGCCTGAATGGAAGACCCGCGCACTGCTCTTGCTGCTATCTGAACGGACGAAAATAAATTACATCGTGTCCACCGCGGATCGCCTGCTGAACTGGAGCCCAAATACAACCCACGCCTTCGCTCCATTCCCTGCCAGTAATTCAGTCACCGAAACCGGTAACCCCAGCCCCTTCTGAACGCATACACGCACAGGCAGCGCGTCGACCCGAATTGCGAATCGCCCGATTTTGGTTAGGCTCCTGCATCACTGTCGCTCACCCGAGTTGCGAATCCCCAACGCGCCACTCGGAGCTACTGCGCGTCGCAGGCACGTCTTCCCGCGAGCCTCACCCTGCGTTTGAACCGGCGGCGCGATGACTGATCCTGCCAGCAAGCCCGTCGACTGTCAAGCAGGCTGGCTGGGCTGATGGACGGATTGTCAACGTCGGGCGATGTTCAGGGCAGTTGGACCTGATCAACGACTTAATTTCGGCGCATTTCAAAACCGCTTTCGCGCAATGAAATACTTGCCGGTGTGCCAAGCTTGCGTCACTGAAAATAACGAATGCATACCTCCGACTCGGATGTGAGGCACCGCCGCCCGACGCGGGCACGTAAAATGCTCGTACTTGGACGGCGCGTCGCGGTGCGGTAATTGGGCTCCGATCCCGCAGGACAGACGTTCTTCGACCGATGGAATCTGCTGTTGCCAGTGCTTCCTGCCTTCTCCTCGCGTCCTATGACACCGCGGATCCTTGCTATGCGCTGCAGCTCAATGCAGGCTCAGCAATATTGCGCATCACGCATATCGGCATTACAAGATTAATCAACATTACAAGATTAATGCATAATGCACACTCTCCACGGTCGGTCTTGTCGGGCGGGATCATTAATCATTTCCTTGACGTATGTATGCGACTGGCGCATCATACGCGCATATGTGCCTCCACCGGAACATCCCACACGCACAGAGTCACAGACATTCAGACACATTTTCAAATCGCCTCGCACTGGATCATTCATTTCCGATTTTCCGCGCCTTTTATCAATCGGCGACCGAAGGAGCAAGTCATATCCAATTAATTATACGGCACCGCCTCCCGCCCTTAGGCAGCGCGTGAAGCCCGAATTCCGTATCGCGATGGGATCAACGCATCACTGGACGGCGACTGTGCAAGAATACCGATTGGGTTCAATTCCGGGCCCCTATGCGCCAACGCGTCAGGTACGCGCCGGCGGCGTTCCTGACTTGCGTTGTGGGCGTACGTCGATCCACGAGGACGTCTAATTCGAGTCGGGAAGGTCTTTTTCGGTTCAAGGTAAGTTCAAGGTTGAAAAAAAACCCGATTGTCGATCGGGAGAGGTGATGTGGTTTCGTTGGGTGGGTCCGCTCCACACTTTAATGCTTGAGGGGCAGTCTTATGCAAGTCTCATGTCCTCATTTACCACCTTTCAGTGGCGGAACGCTTGATACTATAACTGACATTTCTAGATGCCTAAAATCTTCACCTTTCCAGCGCACGGCACACAGTCAAATTCCTCGACGGAACGGAGCGGAAACAGCTTCCCCGAGCCCCTAACTTCTCACTTCTGTTCGCGCTCATGAATACACATTGAAAATTGAATTGTCCAACTCAACCAGTGCGCACCCCGCACATAATTGAATCCCATTAAAGGCCAGCTTGTGATTTTGCGTAGAACGATCTGAATTCGGTTCCTCTTCCCCTGACAGGTGACATCGGAATGCAGTGGAATACTCGGAAGTTGTATTTTACTATTGGACGAACTTTGATTTTGGCTCGATCAAAGTGACCTCGCATTAATTCATCAGTTCATTTCCGTGCGCGACGTTCTCAACAGCGAGGCATCTGGACCCGAGTATAATTGCACTAAGCTCATTTTGAATAGGAAAACCCAACTGGATGCATCGCAGCGCAGCGCGAGTTCAAGTTGAACAACAGAGTTACAGATTGGCAGACAGGGATGCTGAAAACGATCCAATTCATGCAGAGAGACCGACCGAATCGGCGTACTTCGCCCCACCTGCGAAGCTCCGCCCAAATATATTGTATCGAAGGCCAAGTGCTGAATTCAACGTTCTTGCTCTCCTATTCGCGGATTGATGCCGTTCGAGTCGCGGATCATTAAAATTAAAAAATCCCTCGATCACGATCACAGTCCACCAAGAGTCGTTCGGTTTGTGGTGAGGTAGGCGGCCCCACATCGACGTCGAATTTGATGTCTCCACTCGATTGCTGCCAGCCAGACAACCACTGAAACGCCCGGAGAGCCCGACAAAGACTCGAGGTCCGAGGACGGTCTGCTCCCGAGTTCAACTTAGCCTGTACTGTCTTGATTAACTCCCCGGTCCGACCTGTTGATTTAGGTTGTTCCGCGATCGGATGTGAGAGAACGAGAATATTTCGCCTCTCCGACCTTCGGTGGCGTGCCTGCAGGTCAAATTGTCCAGAACAAGACCGAAATAAACACGGTGTGTGGGCACGGGTTCCGGAACGGAATTCCCGCAATCTGGGGACAACACCTAACGGCGAAGCGCCCCTATCCCCGTCGCAATTGCTGTCTTGCGAACCAAACCAGTCTCAATCTAACGAAAGATAGCCAAGAATTTAGCATAGGGGGCCGCCAAAAGTCAGATAGTGCGTGGTGGAGTCGCTTCACGCAGTATCCACGAGTTCGATAGCAATTTAGCACTCGAGAGAGGTAATCGAGGTGAATAAGGACGACGAGATCTGGCCCGCAAACGTCGATATGGAGGTTGAACCAAGGTTGAACATGGAAAGTTGAACCACATCACGGCAGATGCCGGCAGGTTGATTTATCCAACTTCGCGTACCATATATACCCTTCACTCGGTCATCTGTCCGTAATTAGATGTGTCTGGCTGAGTGAAGGCTTCCGAGGAGTCGGACTGTGTTGTCAAGGCTTCAGAGGTTGCGTTCAAGGTAGGTAAGTTGAGCTACGCATCGCGGCATCGCGGCATCACGGCAGCTCGTGGCGGCTTTCTCAAACTCCGCGTACCTTTCACCCACTCAGCTTTCTGTCCTGCGGAGTGCAACACTGCCAAGGGTACAGGGCCTCACATCTTGTGAAAGCTGTGTGTCAACGACAAGATTCGGCAGGAATGGTGTTCAAGAAGTTGAACGACAGATCATGACATCACGGGAAATCCCGGCGCTCGGTCTTCCAATTCCTTCCCGTCAATCAGCCCGGGGCTTATTTTCTAGCATCTGGGTGCCTAGTAAATTGCAAGAGGCAGTCTGCCAATAACTTGGGTGAGGTCTCTGATTTTTTTCCGTTCACCCCAAGTTGGTGAATGCCAAGATATGGAATTTCCCTAGGACCCTATAGCACATACTGTGTTCTTTCAACATTTTTACATTGAACCCCGTTCGATTCGCGGGGGCGGGTCATGTGTCTTGGTTCCAGCTGACTTTTGTTTTTGTTTTTCAGCAACACTCAAGTTGAATATTTGTGGCATCAAAAGCCTAGAAACAGAGGCTTGCAACACCTAATAGCACATCTGGCCTCTTTGTATTTCGCGTCGGAGTTTAGATAGGAGGTCCTCGTTTAATTCGGGGTTGGGTGATGTTTGCTTGAGTTGCCATATAGTAATCTTTTAACCACAGAAGTTCATTTTTGGTGTGTAATTAGCTTGGAAACAAGGGTTAGCACCTGCCTTACTTGAGTCTTTCACTTGAACTTTAGGCAGGAGGTCCTCGTTCGATTCGGGGTCGAGTGATGCATCCTTTTCCACTATCTTTTTTGAACACTTGAAAGTTGAGTTGAATTTTATTAGCATACAGGGAGCATAGGAATAGATAGTAGGAGCACCTGATAGCACATGGTGTGCACCTGCCCTCTTTAAGAGATAGACATCCAAGTTTAGGTGGGAGGTCCCCGTTCGATTCGGGGTTGGGTGATGATGCTCTCTCTTAGGCTTTTTTTCAACCCAAGTTGAATTCCGGTGCTATATCAGGAGCGTAGAAACAGAGGGTAGGAACACCCAATAGCATGTGGTATGCACCAGCTCAACTTTAAATAGTTGCGTAGTCAAAGTACAAGCAGATCCCTGTTCAACTCGGGGTCGGGTGATACTGTTCGTGTAAGTATGAGGAGCCTAACAATCAAGGCTAAGAACACCCAATAGCACATGGTGTGCATCTGCCTTTCTTAAAATTTCTGGAATGGAGTTGTATGCAGGAGGTCCCCGTTCGATTCGGGGTTGGGTGATACCTCTCCTTCCACTTTCCTTTTGCAACTTAAGTGGAATTTGTGTGGGTATATTGAGCTTAGGAACAGAGGGTAATGACACCCAATAGCACATGGTGTGCACCTGCTTTACAAGTCTCTTGAGATGTATGCAGGAGGTCCCTGTTCGATTCGGGGTTGGGTGGTAAATCTCTGCCACGACCATTTTTCTCAACCCAGTTGGATTTTCAGGGTATAAAGAGCTCAGTAAATGGAGGTATGAGCGCCCGATAGCACATGGTGTGCACCTGCTCAGCTTGTCTCCTTCGTCCGCGAAAATTAAGCAGGAGCTCCCGTTCGATTCGGGGTTAGGCCCTGATGCCGTCTCCGCCATATTTATTTTCACCAGTAAACTTGGGTTGAAGTGGTATCAAGAGCCTAGGAATGAAGGGAGGAACACCTGATAGCACATGGTGTGCACCTGCCCTCTTTGGTCTTTTCTTGTCTGAGTTTATAAGGCAGGAGGTCCCCGTTTGATTCGGGGTTGGGTGATTCTGCTCTCTTCCTCATCTTTTTCAACCGCACAAGTTGAATTCTGTAGGGTATGAAGAGAGCCCAGGAATAGGGCAGGAGCCCTGACAGCTTTTGGTGTGCACCTGCCCTCCCTATGGATTTTGCAATGGCATTGTAAGCAGGAGGTCCCCATTTGATTCGGGGTTGGGTGATATCCTGTCTTTCACTGCAATCAAGTGGAATATTAATTTTAGTAGGTATAAAGAGTGCAGAAGGTAGAAGGGAGGACATCTGATAGCACACGGTGTGCACCTGCTCTCCTTACAGCCACCTCCGCCTGAAGTTTAAGCAGGAGGTCCCCGTTTGATTCGGGGTTGGGTGATAGATGTTTCTCCCCGTCTTTTTGTTTCAACCCAAGGTGAATTTCTGTGGGTATGAGAAGCTTAGAAACAGAGGTAGGAACACCCGATAGTATGTGGTGTGCATCTACTCAGCTTTAGACATGGTTTTGAGTTTAGGTAGGAGGTCCTTGTTCGATTCGGGGTTGGGTGATACGTCTTCTTCTGCTATCCTTTTTTTAAAAAACCACAGAAGTTGGAATTTTGGTAGGTATAAAGTGCCTTGAAATTGGGAGGAGGAGCACCCAATAGCACGTGGTGTGCACCTGCCTCCCTTAATCACTTTGCAGGCAGTAGGTCCCTGTTCAATTCGGGTTCGGGTCATGGCTCTGCCACCATAATCTTTTTAACCACTGAAGTTGAATTTTACTAGTTACAAGGAGCCCAGGAGGAGAAGGGTAAGGACACCCGATAGCACATGGTGTGCACCTGCCTACTTTGATCTTTCTCCGACATATTGCAGGCAGGAGGTCCCCGTTCGATTCGGGGTTGAGTGATTCACACAAATCGCACTCTTTTTTTCACCCCACCCAAAGTTTTTCATGGTATAAGCAGCTTAGAATTAGGAGGTAAGAGCACCTGATAGCATGTGGTGTGCACCTCCCCCTCTTAAAAGCTCTCTTTGGAGGTTAGGCAGGAGGTCCCCGTTCGATTCGGGGTCGGGTGATCTGTTGCTCCTTCCACATTTTTTTATTCAACCAAGTCAAACTTCCGTGGGGTATAAAGAGCCTAGGGGTAAGGGAGAAGATACCTGATAGCGCATGGTGTGCACCTGCCTATCCTAAATATTTCAAGTGATGGATGTGGGAGGTCCTCATTCAATTTGGGGTGGGGTGATGTCCACTATTGCTCCAGGATTTTTCTTCACCATTGAAATTGAATTTTAGTGGTATATAAAGTGCTTCAGAATTGAGGTAGGAACACCCGATACCATGTGGTGTGCACCTGCCCTCCCTACAGCTCCATTTCGGTATTTTAGGCAGGAGGTCCCCGTTCGATTCGGTTGGGTGATATCTTGTTCCTACGGTTTTTTTCAACCCAAGCTGAATTTCTGTGGATATGAAAGGAGTTGAGCGGAAGGAGGAGGGTAGCAACACCCAATAGCATGTGGTGTGCACCTCCCCCTCTTAAACATTTTCTCGAAAGGGTAGGCAGGAGGTCCCCGTTCGATCCGGGGTTGGGTGATACTGCTTTCACCGACCTTTTTCCAATCAAGTTAGATATTGGTGGTATAAAAGGTGTAGAGAAGGTAAGGGTAGGAACACCCAATAGCACATAGTATGCACCTACCCTCTTTAAGAAACCTCTTGAGATGGAGTTTAAGCAGGAGGTCCCCATTCGATTCAGGGTTGGGTGATCTCTCTCCGCCGTTCAACTTTTATTGTTTCAACACAAGTCAAATTTTAGTGGTACATGAAAGGCGTAGAAATGAAGGATAAGAACACTTGATAGCACATGGCACCTGCCCACTTTGTTAATTCCAAAATTATAAGGTTGTAAGCAGGAGGTCCTCGTTCGATTCGGGGTTGGATGATTCCCCTTTCCGATCCTTTTTTGCAACTCAAGTCAGGATTTTACTGGTATATAAGGCCTTGAAAGGGAAGGGAGGAGCATCTGATAGCACGTGGTTTCAGTAGGCAGGAGGTCCTCGTTCGATTCGGGGTTGGGTGATTTCTGTTCGCTCGTAGTCTTTTCCGTGTTCAACGTGAATTTTACTGGTATAGGGTGCTTAGGAACAGAATGGAGGAACACCTGATAGCACATGATGTGCACCTGCCTGACTTAATCCTCTGTCCAGAGATGTGGGGACCGGCAACTCGCCTGTCCGAATGTCCGATTGTACATGTTTGGTCTCCGCCTTTAGCTGTCAAATCGACGGCAAATTCACTTCGCCTCAAATTCAAGTGGCCACAAGTTCATGGGAACATTTTTGAAGAAGCCAAAATGGTGTATGTATATTATAGAGTGGCTAAGGAAATTACTATGGCCCCAGAAAATTATTACTGTCAGTAATCTGCGAGTCAATGCCGGTACCCCAACTCCTCCTCCTCCACCTCGGACTCGACTTCATCTGGCTCTGGCTCTGCCGCTGGGTCCGGGGGCCCATTCTGGGGGAACTCTCCTGCATGTACTCGACCATTCCAACGCTCCAGAGCCGCGATTAGAATCGCAACCTTCTCATGTTTCTTCAGCTTCGAAATGGCCGGAATTTCCGACTTGGCGTCGACCAGGACCTCGCGACTGCGGTGCCACTTGATCTGGAGGTCGATATGGGCTACGTGAATCTCCTTCAAGCTGTCCTGCTCGCGGAAACGCTCCACATCGAAGATTACCGGGCAGTTGTTGATTTTATCGCGCTCCGTGTCCTTCTTCTTGTCGCTCTTGATTTTTTTGCCACGGTGCTCGGCGACCGTCTGCTCGTCTGTGGCAGCCTGTGCAATCCGACGATGCTGTTCCCTGCGCTCTCCATCAATGGTCCGCGCTGCCTGCCGAACATAAGCCTGGTCTGCACTGGACTGCAGCTTTTGGCGCGCATAAGCCTTGGTGTTGTTCCTCTTGAACATAGACTTCGAGTTGATGAACTCGAGCGTGGCTCTCGGCGCTCGACGCCGTGCTATCCTTCCATCCGACCCCAGGGTGCCCTCGTTCGCGTCGTTCGTTGCCGGCATGGCGGCGCGATCCTGTTGCGCGGCGGACAAGGTTGAAATACCTCGCTCCCCGGTGTAATCGACAGTAAATCGAATCCAGGTTGCGAGTGCACCCTCGAGGAACGCGACGAGTGCACCTCGCAGATGCCAGAGTCGAGACTCCATCGCAATAATCGCATAAATTGCCTCGGGGCGCTCCCATGGCTTGCCGTCGAGTGCACCGGTTTCAAACGTCGTTGCAGGCCCGCAGAGCAAGTCTGGATTCGCGATGAGACGACGCAGGTGTTCAAGTAGCTGTGTGTGCAACGGGCCGAGCGTCAGAAGGTTGGTGCGCGCCTTGCGCGCCACACGCATGTACGGGTGAGTGATGGCTTGACCATAAAGCGCGAGAACAGCGAGCTCCGTCAGGGTGTAGGGATCGCGCAGGGCTTTGCAGATATTGCTCTCCATGTGGTTGAACTTCATAGACTCCTTCCGGTCGCGGATGAAGTCGATGAATTCAGTGTAGATTGGAAGGTGGACGAGGATCTCGGCGGCGCCCTCCGAGTGCGACTGGTAGCGCGTGTTGTTGGTGTCGGGGAAGCGGAGAGAGTAGCCGATTTGTGCGTGCGCCTCGAAATAAATCCCGTGGCGATCCTGCTCACCCTTCTTGTCATCCTTGTTGTTCAGAAGGGCGCCCATTAAATCGGTGGTTTTGACCCCGCCGCGGGCAGACAGCCGCTCTGCCCGCTCCTTGGCCGCGGCTGACCCAGTTTGAACAGCGGCGTCGTTGTCTTTGTTGAACAGGAAGATGGGACCAGGTAGGCCCTGGGACTCCCAGTACAGCATCATGCGAGCGTTGCCCCCTAGCACACAACATAAGTATCGCGTTCAAATTCAGTACTGCAACGACGTACCTTTGTGAGCGTTCAAGTCCTTGTGCATGCAGTAGCCCGCCCACACAAACAGATCCACTTCGCGCTTCTGCTCCGGGGAAAGGGCATCGAAGAGCTCTTGTCCATAACGCCGACAGAGAATACCGTGAAGGGCACCATTGCGGCGATCTTGTTCTTCGGTAGGCAAGGAATCCCACCCCGCCTGTCCACCGGCGTCCCGGATTTTCTCCTCGTTGAGGTCGCAAATCAACTTCAAGAGCTCTGGCGGCGAGAGCAGAAGCAGAGCGCGTTCGCCACGGAGCTCGCGCTCCATCTGCTGCTTGATCGTCTCGAAGAGGAAGGCTAATTTCTTCTGGTCGGCGGCATGGTCAGTTATCATGCCCATCACCTTGACAAAGAACTCCCGCTCGTCGATGGGCGCTGCTTGACCACGCGGACTGGCGTTATATAGCTGATGCATCTCCCGGACGAGACTCTTCCAGCCTTCAAGCTGCGCCTCGCTGGTGTGATTCGACGCAGTCCCGAGGCCGAGAAACCTGTTTTCCTTCGAAGTGCCGCCACCGTCAACGTAGGTGGGCACGTCGAGCATCATATGGTGCGATTCAAACTGGATGTGTTTGTGGGAAGTGCCGTCGCCGCTAATCGTTGCACCTACGTCAAAATAAGTCACTAGCGCCAGGTAATATTCCGGCACATACTCTGTGCCTGCTTGAGCTCATCAATAATCTGAAGCTGCGCCTTGACACCACCCTCCTTCACAATCCGCGCAACACTTCGGGCGCTCAAATTGCCGACCAATTTGACGTTGAGAGCTTCCGCAATGGCAGCAATGATGGAAGGGACGTTGTCGACAGGGACATTCAGCGAGACTATCTCCTGGACGCAGCTACGGATCGAGTCGGAAATTATCCCGTGGTCCTTGACCGCCTGGGTGTTGAGCTTCGTAGCAGCTGTCTCCACACGATCGGGGATCCGACGGACACGTTTGACTAGGGCGTTCTTCTGTTGGACGATGGCCGCGTTCCGTTTGTGCGCCGCAGCTGTTTCCGCTTGTCCCGCCGCCAGTTGCGCCTCGAGCTCGAAAATCCGGGCCTGTATGTGAACTTTGAAGGCGCCGACGGAGCTGGTGCTCTCTTTAAGGTGATTCTGCAGGTCGGCCAATTCCTGCTGAAGGTCCAGTTTATTCGATGCGGCTCGGCTGAGCTTCTTGCGCTCGTTCCGAAAGAGTCGCTCGTAGTAACTGGCCCTTTGCTGGGAGGCCAAAAGTTGTCCCAAGGGTACGGTGCGTGTGGGTGAGGACGATTGGAAGTGCTTTCGACGCGTCGAACGCGTCGAACGCGTCGAGGCAGGCGAAGAGTGATTTTCCTTGTCAGAAGCATGATCCGAGGGCGTCTGACCCCGTCGACGTGAGAGATTCGCGAGGGATTGAGCTTGATGACCGACTGAACGGCGTTTTGAAGGATTCCATCGCCGAGTACCACCCATGGAGCGTTGGACGCGTCGAGAACGCGAGAGATGGTGGTAAGAGGACGCGTCTGATGGATTATGTCACCTTTGATCCTCGCTTTGAGGGGTGGTTCTGATAAAATCCGCGCTGCATTCCACTGCCCACTAAATATTCCGGTAATGTGCTGGAGTACTCTCATTACACACACTGAAGGTATTGTCCGGGACATAATTATTTATCCTTGACAAAAAGTTGACGTGTTTTTGTAACGGAACCTCAGAAAACTTTCAGGGAGCCCTGAGTCAAATTTGTCCTCGGCCAATACCTTAAGCCGCTAACTATCGATACTTTTCCCCTTTGTGGTTTGAGAGTTTGGGAGGTGCATGAAGCGCAATGGGCTTCAAGAAATATTTGCCATCTTTAAGATCAAAAGTTGCTGATGTAATCGGCCGCTCTGGCCCCAGGTGCTGCCGGTCCCCAAGAGATGTGGTAGGCAGGAGGTCCTCGTTCGATTCAGGGTCGGGTGATATTGCTCCTTCCTAGCATCCTTTTTTTGTTCAACACCGAGTTGAATTTTAGTGGTATATAGAGAGCATAGGAATAAAAAGTAGGAACACCCAGTAGCCCATGGTGTGCACCTGCTCTCCTTTTTTTCTTCTTCACCACTATTGGAGGCAGGAGGTCCCGGTTTGATCCGGGGTTGGGTGATTGCTCTTTCCTCCGCATTTTTGTTTCAACTCAAGTTGAGTATCAGGGGTATAGCAAGCTCAATAAATGGAGGTAAGAACACCTAATAGCACATGGTGTGCACCTGCTCTCCTTGATGTTGTCGACCAGAGTTTAGGCAGGAGGTCCCTGTTCAATTTGGGGTTGGGTGATCCGTCTCTCCTTCTTTTTCCAGCTCAGTTGAATTTCTGTAGGTATAATAGATGTAGAGAATGGGGAGGGAGGAACACTCAATAGCACATGGTGTGCACCTGCTCATCTTTGGAACTTGGAAAGAAGTTGTAGGCAGGAGGTCCTCGTTCGATTCGGGGTTGGGTGATGAGTCTCTCCTACTTCTTTTTTCTTTCAACAATTCCAACGCAAGTTGAATATCGGTGGTATAAAAGGTGTAGAATATAAGGGGTAAGAACACCTAATAGCATGTGGTGTGCATTTGCCTACTCTGACATAGAAGGTTGTTTGCAAGCAAAGATCTTTGTTCGATTCGGGGTTGGGTGATTCGGGTTTTCCTATGTGAGTAATTTTCTTTCACCATTGAAGTTGAATTTTAGTGGTATATAAAGTGCTTAGAATAGAAAGTAGGAACACACGATGGCACATGGTGTGCACCTGCCTTCCTTGGAACCTCTGTTTGCAGTTTAGCAGGAGGTCCCTGTTTGATTTGGGGTTGGGTGATGTCTCTCAAGTGCTTCAATCTTTTACACCACACAAATAAAAGTTCTGTGCTATAGGGAGCCTAGAAATAGAGGGTAGGAACACCCAATAGCACATGGTGTGCACCTGCCTTTCTTAGCTCCTCTTTGTGAGATGTAGGCAGGAGGTCCCCGTTCGATTCGGGGTCAGGTGATGTCCACCATTCCTCCAGGATTTTTCTTTACCATTGAAGTTGAATTTTGGTGGGTATAAGGAGCTTAGGAATGAAGGCTGGGACACCCAGTAGCACATGGTGTGCACTTGCACCCTTTGCATATTCCACAAGCACTCCAGGCAGGAGGTCCTCGTTTGATTTGGGGTTGGGTGATATATATCCTCTTCCTACCAATCTTTTTCAACCCAGGCTGAATTGTAGTGCAGATAAGAGCCTTAAAACAGAGGGTAAGAACACCTGATAGCACATGGTGTGCACCTGCCCTCTTTGGTCTTTCTTGTCTGAGTTTAGGCAGGCCCCCGTTCGATTCGGGGTTGGGTGATGTCTGCCCTTCATCCATTTTTATTTTCAACCCAAGTTCAATTCTGGTGGGTATCAAAAGCACTGAAGGTAGGGGAGGAACACCTGATAGCACATGGTGTGCACCCGCCCAACTTAGGATCATGCTCATTGCAGTTGTAAGCAGGAAGTCCTTGTTTGATTCGGGGTTGGGTTATTGAGCCTGTCTTCACAATTCTTTTGAACACTCAAGCTAAATTTTGGTAGTAGTTCAGGAGCCTAGGGATGTAAGGCAGGAACACCCAATAGTGTGCACCTACCTCCCTTGTTTGATCTTGGTCAATGATTTTGCAGGCAGGAGGTCCCTGTTCGATTCGGGGTTGTCGGAAAAAAGTTAAATTGCTTGCAAGGGCTTGAGCCGGCTTGCGACCTTGAGACCGCTTGAGAGCCGCTGAGCCAGGGCTTCCAAGGTGTCTCAAGCCGTCTCGACGTGCGGGGGTGCCTCCCAAGCGGCCCCAAGCCACCGCAAGATAGGCGGGACTTGAGAGGCCTTGAGGCGCCTTGCGGGTGGCTGATTTTTCCAGCTGCCAAAGGGGAAAAATTACTTGACATTATTCACGCGTAAGTGCATGTCCTCGTCGATACAATCAACAATGTATTGGACATGAACGAGAACGGGGTGCATCGCGGATTCGCGGTGAAGGCGAGTCGGGTGGTGATGGAGTTCCGGCGTTGTTGCCCCGGCGAGCTTTCCCGGGTTCAGGCTCGGAGTCGGAGATGTGTTTGTCTCAGCGCATGCGACGAGGACTAGTAGACGAGGACGGAGATTCTCGGGAGAGTGGAGTAAAGTTACGTCACGCTTCGGCTGCGCTATATTAGCGCCACCGCAGCACTTCACTCCACCCCACCCTTCTTTCCTCTTCCCACCACAACCCCCCGCGACGCTCACTACCCACGACGCCAACACCCAACGACGCCGGCTGTCCTCGACGCCTAACGACGCTCGCGGCTCGACCCACTGCCTCATCCTTTGGAAACGGCGCGCGCCGCTGCGGCCCAACGCCACTCGGTGAGCCACCCCGGAGTTCAGCGGACTCGAGGTGGGTTAAGCTATCCATTCATTCGTTGTCCATTTCTGACCCATCTTTCAAATTTCAAGCCTTGGTTTGTCTTAATTTTGCGTTTCCAGAGCTGGCCCTCACTAGTCGAAAGTTACTTAGCAGGATCGTTCTGGTGAGTCCCTTTCTTACTCTGAATCGGACTCCCTCTCAAATATTCGCAGGTCCTGCAGCTCTCCCGAGTCATTTAGGTGCGTGAATTTTCGAGTCGCAGTTTTGCTGCCACAGACATCTCCTTTCCCGACGCCGGCGTCTTCATCTCGGTCTGGATCGATTCGCTTTCTCTACCACCATAAAAATGTCCTAGTTAGACATTGAATATATCACATTTCGACATACTTACATTGGTTTGAATTGGCATTCAAGAAGGGGTATTGGGCCGGCGTGCGTCCCGCCAAATAAGCCTCCTCTTGACGTCTTGAGACGCGTTGGAAGGCGATTTGGCACAAGTGACCTTGAGACTCACGGTGTGGCTTGAGACGGGTCTTGGGAACCTGACGTATGAGTTACAAGCCTCTTAAAACCAAATGACCTTGAGACGGCTCGCGACATCTTAGGCGCCGTTGCAAGCAATTTAGTTTTTTTCCGACAGTTGGGTGATATTTCATTTCCCTTGTACCTTTTTGCACAACTGTGATGAATTTTTGTGGTGTATGGAGCCTTGGAAATTAGAGGTAGGAACACCTGATAGCACATGGTGTGCACCTGCCTACTTTGATCTTTCCCCCTGTAATACTGTAAGCAGGAGGTCCTCATTCGATTCGGGGTTGGGTCATACATCTTCGTTCCACCAATTGTTTTCAACCACTGAAGTTGAATTTCTGTGGGTATATAAAGGGCGTAGAAGGTAAGGTAAGAACACCCAATAGCACATGGTGTGCACCTGCCCTTCATAATTCTTTCAGCTGATTGTAAGCAGGATGTCCTCGTTCGATTCGTGGTTGGGTGATAGTTTGACTCCGTCTGTGTTTTTTTTTTTAATTTCCACACAAGGTTTTCGGTGGTGTAAAAGGTGTAGAATGTAAGGGTAGGAACACTTGATAGCACGTGGTGTGCACCTGCTCTCCTTTCATCATTTCCATCGAAGTTCCAAGCAGGAGGTCCCTGTTCGATTCGGGGTTGGGTGATAGCTGCGGAGTTCATCCATTTCTTCAACCCAACTCAACATTTTGCTGGTATAGCTTAAAAACAGAGTGTAGGACATCCCATAGCACGTGGTGTGCACCTGCCCACTTTGTTAATTCCAAAATTGTAAGGTTGAAAGCAGGAGGTCCCGTTCGATTCGGGGTTGGGTGATTTCTGTTCCTCAATTCTTTTTTCCTTTCAACTCAAGTCAAATTTTAGTGCCCAAAGGTAAGAGAGAGGAACACCCGATAGCACATGGTGTGCACCTGCCCAAATTGGTGCTATCTAGAAGCTGTAGGCAGGAGGTCCCCGTTCGATTCGGGGTTGGGTAATGTCTTGGTTCCAGCTAATATTTTTCCCCAATACTCAAGTCAAGATTTTGCTGGTATAAAGAGAGCGCAGAATATAGAGGTAACAACACTCGATAGTGCATGGACCTGTCTATCTTCATCATTGGTTCTGTGAAGTGTCAGTAGGAGGTCCTCGTTCGATTCGGGGTTGGGTCATAGCTCTCGCGGCTGATATCTTTTTTGGCGAGCCTCATGTTGAATATCAGTGGGCATAGAGCCCCAAAGGTAAGGGAGAGGAACACTCAAGAGCACATGGTGTGTGCCTGCCCAATCTAAACATTTTCGGAGGTGAAGGCAGGAATTGCCTCTCTGCCTTCATCCATTTTTCTTTCAACCCAAGTCAAATTCTACTGGTATATAAAGAGCTAGGAAAATCAGGATAAGAACACCTGATAGCATATGGTGTGCACCTGCCCTCTTTGGTGGTCTCCAGTGGTATTGTAGGCAGGAGGTCTCCGTTCAATTCGGAGTTGGGTGATATGGCTTCTACTAACGATTTTTTTTTCAACACAACTTGGATTTGAGTAGCTGTAAAGAGCTTAGGAATAGAATGTAGGACACCTGATAGCATGTGGTGTGCACCAGCCTCCCGTATTTCCTCTGTGCGAGGAGTTTAAGCAGGAGTTCCTCGTTCGATCCGGGGTTGGGTGATATTGTCACCATCCATTTTCTCAACCCAAGTCAATTTTTACTGGATACGAAGAGCTTAGAAATAGAGGGCAGGGACACCCAATAGTATGTGGTGTGCACCTGCGCAACTTAACAAATTTTGCACCTTGTAGGCAGGAGTTCCTCGTTCGATTCGGGGTCGGGTGATGATGCTCACTTCTAGCCTTTTTTTATTCAACTCAAGTCAAATTTCTGTAGGTATGAGGAGTCTAGGAACAGAGGGTGAGAACAGCTAATAGCACGTGGTGTGCACCTGCCCTCCTTCAATATTTCCCTGATGAGTATGCAGGAGGTCCCTGTTCGATTCGGGGTTGGGTGATTTGCAGTGTTCGCCCAAGGGCCAAGGCCTTGGTCAAGCCCTTGGATGTTTTTCGGCCGACACCCGCCCTTGGGTCAAGGCCTTGGGTCATCACACGTAATTAATTATGTAACATTTATTCGCATCTTTTTTTCTCGTTCCCTCCACCTCCGTCGTCCGACAATGGTAGCTGAGAACCCGCTGAGCGCGTTTTTCCATCGTGGGAAGCTCCAAAATAAGAACATGTACTTCAACTACTGCAAGGCATGTGTCGCCGAGGAATTGAAGAAAGCCGGGGCGACGGCTACTTCGCTGACACAAGGCAAGCAGGCCTTCGATGCCGGTGAGCTGATTCTGGAAATAATTTGTGCACTAGACTGACGTACCAAAGCTTGTGCCGCGGTTGGGCACACCCGTGGTGAAAAGAATGCCTGGATTGCCCATATCCTTGGCGGCGTCACTCCGTGTCCATACGCACCTGCGGACGCGAAGGCGGAGGCGACGCTTCAGCGCAACAAATCACAGACCACGACAAAGCGCCCACGAACCGACTCAACTGCCACCGATGTCGCAGCGCCCCTGGCCAAGAAGAAGCAGATCCAGTCCACGCTG